CTTACTTTTTTTTAATATATCATGATATATTAAAAAAAAGTTAGCCGAGGCTAAATTTATCTTCTACTTTGGGTTTATTAATTAACGATAAACCCTACATAACAGCTTTACTTAGTGAAAAACACCTTTTTTATAAAAGTAGTTTTATGAAATGATCCTTAAATAAAGGATCTCGTAGCTATTCTACTAATTCTTCACCGACTACACCGCATTTTCAACCAGTAAGTGTTTATTTAAATGCTGATCAAGATAAGATCCTAATATTAAAAGAAAACAAAGGAAAGTGTGGGGTGTATCTTTGAACAAACTTAATAAATGGGAAAAGCTATGTTGGTAGTAGTATTAGTTTACATAGAAGATTTAAATCTTATTTTAATATTTTTTATTTAGAGTCAGGGATAAAAAATAGAAAGAGTTTGATTTACAGTAGTTTATTGAAGTATGGTTATTCTAACTTTAAATTGGAAATCTTAGAACATTGCGCTCCTTCCGAAGCCATATCAAGAGAGCAATACTATCTTGATTTATTAAAACCAGCATATAATATATTACTTATAGCTGGTTCTCGGTTAGGTTCCAAACATTCTGAAGAAACAAAAGCTAAAATATCTGCTTCGGCAGTAGGTAACCAATATTGTGCAGGAAGTAAAGGACGTAAACGAGCAGAAGGGGGCAGGAAGCCCTAGTGTACCAATAGAAGTACTTGATATGAAAACTGGATTAAAAAATACATATTCTTCCATGAGTGAACTAGGGAAAGCCTTATGTGTACCCGCAGGAAGTATTAGAATGTTTTTTTCTATCCTTTGGGGATGGACCCCTTCAGGGGCCAGACCTAAAGGTCAGTCCCCATCGGGGACTAGAAAAACCCAGAACCTTTATAAAGGGAGATATAAATTAAAAAAATTAACATAAAAAAAGATAATCTTGGCTATAAAAGAGCAACGAGTATACGGCAATTGATACGATTTATCGTATTTAAGATGTACTCTATTAGGTTTCGAGAGAAATCGTTTAATAAAAATCCATTCTAACCAAATTATGCCAATACGAAATTATACAGTTAGTAGTAACCCTAATCCGGATACATCTATTATTATGCTTCCTTGATTTGTAACAGGGTTCACCTTATTTTTCTTTTGCGACCTTTTTTCTAGCCCTTTTTTTCTAGTAATTTCGAACACTCGAAATTACGTCGAAAAAAAAGGGCTAGAAAAAAAATTAGGAAAGCACCTAGAACTAACAGAGGTTGAAAGATCGAAGCCAATTTTATTATAAATCTCCACAAAAAAGACGTTAAAATCTTAAAACAAATTAAAGAATTTTTTGGTGGGGTCGGACGAGTAAGTAAAGAGAGAAACGGTTGTTGTGATTATACGGTAAGTTCTTTAGATCAAATTGCATCCGTTATTCTTCCTCATTTTGATAAATACCCTTTAATCACTCAAAAGCTTGCGGACTATATACTTTTTAAAGAAGTTGTTCTTATGATGAAGCGAGGTGAACATTTAACAGTTTCAGGTTTAGAAGCTATTATGAATAGACGAGCTTCTATGAACAGAGGGTTAACTCCAGCATTGAAAGAAGCTTTCCCTGAACATGTCCCTGTGGAAAGACCTATAATCGATGCAACTAAGGCCTTTCCAATTGACCCTTACTGATTGGCTGGATTCGCCTCTGGAGATGGTACTTTTGCAATCAAGTTGAGAGTTAATGATTTTTTTGCAGGAGGTCGTGTTGAATTGGTCTTTGCTTTAACTCAACACTCTCGAGACCTTCCTCTTATGAAGTATTTCGTTGAATATTTAGCCCTCCAGCAACAAGTAGCTGGGGGCTGCAGGGCTGGATGTGGAAAATGTTATACTTTTAAGAATCATGCAGAATATATATGTCGTAATTTCAGTGAGATACAGGAAAAAATTTTACCCTTTTTCATTAAATATCCTATTATTGGAGTTAAAGCACAAGATTATTCTGACTGAGAGAAGGCTCTTAAAATTATGAATTCTAAAGCTCATCTAACTAAACCCGGATTTGAACATATTAAACTTATTAAGGCTGGAATGAATAAAGGTCGAAATAATGTTTAATGGTTTTATAATATTAATTGAACTACACCGGAAAAAATTTTTTACTCTATACCTTAAATGTATATAAATTATGGTTTTTCTTCTTATTTACTTATCTGTATAAAGTTTGGCATATTTGTATGATAAATTTTATTTTTAAGGATGTATACGATGCAATTCCTACAGTTGTTACTACTTTTGTGGCTATCATTGCC